GACACACAGCTGGATGAGCACATCGCTTACCTGCACTCGCTGGCAATGTTTGGCATTTCTGACCACGACCTGATATACACGAAGGACATTGCTCACGAGGAGCAAGTGGAGAGCGAGGAAGCCCATGAGTACATCCAACGGAGGGTACAGAAAGCCCACGAGCTGGTCCAGCTGGAGTCCCAGCTCAGAGACCAGAGGATGGAGGGGATCAGGAGCACTTGTGAAGAGAATTGGCAAAGACCACCGGGATCGGTTTCTGGACCCAAGAAGTTGTCTCCGGGGTTAAATGACAAAAATCACTTTATTTCACCACCAGTAGCTGATACACGTGAAAAAGACAAATGTATTGACCTTACAGAGGATGAGGAGGCCCAGGTACTTCATGTCAGCTCCAAAATAACAACTCTAACTATTGATGACTTGAGTGAACAGAAACTGCCACAAGATGTGTCCAGTATGGAGACAGAGCTGCTTAATACCAGCAAGGCAGCAGAACAAGGTGATATACAAGAATCTGAGCCAAATCCTGAATTCAGCATTATATCACCATCCCCTGCACTTGAGAAAGAGAGTCGGAGCCTCCAAGAGAAACAGCATTCCCATGTACATTCAGACAGCTTGCCTGAGGCAGGGAATCATCTGTCTGGGCATCATCAGCATTCCTCCAACGAGTCTGGCACAGCTGACAATCCTGAAAGGGATGCAGAAATGTCAGTTCAGATACTTGACCCACACACTGCCCCTGGGACAGAGCAGAACGACGTTCCTGAGGCAGCTTCCACTTCTGCAGTGCTGAGCCTATCAAACGACCAACCAGAAATCCATGGTGGGCTCCGCAAGTCTCATGTGTTGGAAGACAACTTGGAGGATACATCTGTGCTTTCTCTCCACGATCAAGCTGACTTCAATCTGGTCTTGGAAGAGTCTGAAGAGGGATGGCAGGATGCCTCAAATGGGGAAGAGTCAGTGGAACACCCCAAGGAGAGCTTCCAACTCCAGGCAGAAAGTTTGTGTCCATCTCCAACCAAAGGATCTCCAAACAAAAGTCGGCTGAGTGAGACCAGTAACCGTGGCAAACCCTGTCCCGCAGATGAGGAAGAGCCAAATGCCTCCTTGCAAGGGAGTGAAGCATTGGAGGAAAGCAGTGATCCCTTTACTTTTAGTAGGAGGAAACGCCTAAACAGGATTGCTTCAGACAGTGAGAGTGAAGAAGAGCCTGAACAAATCCCCTCCTCTCCCTTGGACAGCCTTGGCCACCAACTTCTGGAAGGAATTAGCGCATCCACCCCTAAATGTGACAGAAGCAGAGCTAAAGCCATCTTTTCACCTCAACTAAGTAACAGTGGTAGCAGGTCTAATGCTTCCAGGCGCTCATTCATCAACAGAGTAGTAGATGAGGTGGAGGATATTGGGGAAATCATGGGAACCACTGGTGAAGGTGATGATGACACTGATGAGGAGCAAGACAAGCTTGTGGAAGAAGAAGCTGAGGAGTGCACTGGGGAATCTGCTGAGACTGAAGAAGAACCTAGTGGAGAAACACTTGATACAGGTGAAGAGTCCTCCCATGTAGATAGTGAGGAATCTGAGCAGTCCGAGCTGGAAGAGACGGAGTCGTCTCAGGAGGAATCCACTGGTGATCCTGAGCTCCAGTCGGGTGAGCGGATCGACTACTTCACCCAGGAAAGCAGCTCTGAAAAGGGGGTTGGTCAGAATTCCTCTCCTGCAGTGGAAGATTATGACACCTTGGTACACAGTGGGAAGAAACTTCAGGATGATGGGAAACTCCAGGAGGCATTGGACTGCTTCCTGCAAGCTCTTGACATAAAAAGTGGAGATCCTGAAGTTATGCTTCTTACTCTAAACTTGTACAGACAGCTGTCACAGAAGTGAAGGGTGTGGCTCTGTGAGCACAGCCTGGCTGTTCCTCGCTAACACATGTCTGCACCACGGCACCAGGATCCCTGAGCCAGCTCCGGGCTGGTGCCTGCCATACACCCGTGTGACTGAGCAAATTCAGCATCTCCTGTGTGAGGAAACAGTCCAAAAATCTAGGTGTTGGTTGCTGGGGAGGGAACTTCACTGTGAAGTCAGCTCACAAAGGTGAAAATAGCTCAAGTTCCTGTCTGATTATTTAATAAAAAGATGTTACTGATGTCTAAATTTCTCTCTAAGCTGGTAGCTCTGTCTTCACCCTTTGCTCCTCCAGTTTCTGTTGCTCCTCTCCCCTGAGAGGATGGGGACAGTGTGGTCCCATGGCCACTGCACAGCCCAGCCTCGGGCTGCTGTGATTACTCCCTCCTCCGTGGCTTGAAATAAGCCAGCCTGGGAACCTGAAGGTCACCCACTATCTGGGTGAGCTGGATGCTGGTACAAAGGAGAGAACAGCTCTTGCAGCCTGGTTGTAAGGTGGTCTGAGAATGGATTGGCTGTGGAGGAGTTAAAAAGATTTAAAAGCTGTTTTCTGCTCTAATTTCTCCAAACAGTGGAGGAAGTGGAGCAGAGCACAGCATCTGCTTGGTACCAGGTGTAACACCCAGTGTGGTAGTGCAGGAGCCCTTCTGAACCCCCTGACAGGTGTGTATGTGTGGGTGGGGGGCTGTGGGGCTAGAACCCTAAAGGCAGCAGGAGGGGATACTGGATTTAACTGCTTTTTTTGGTAAAAAATCCTCTTGCAGCATGCAGCTGAACTTAGATTAAGTATCTCTCAGGCCCTGTAGGCATGATGAAGCTATGAAGAGAGTTTCTAGTTCACAGAATCATGGAATGGTTGGGGTTAGGAAGAACCTTAAAGACCTTCCAGTTCCAGTGCCCTGCCATGGGCAGGGACACTTCCCACTATCCCAGGATGCTCCAAGCCCCATCCAACCTGGCCTTGAACCCTCCCAGGGATGGGGCAGCCACAGCTTCTCTGGGCAACCTGTGCCAGGGCCTCCCCACCCTCACAGGGAAGAATTTATCCATAATATCCTATCTAACCTTACCCTCTGTCAGTCTGAGCACATTTCTGCTCCAGTTCCTGAGGAAGATTCCCTCTCCAGCTTCTCTGTAGGCCCCTTCACAGACTGGAAGGTGCTGTGAGGTCTCCACACAACCCTCTCTTCTCCAGGCTGAACAGTCCCAGCTCTCTCAGCCTGCCTCCATAGGGCAGGTGCTCCAGTCCTCTTATCCACTTTGTGGCCTCCTCTGCACTTGCTCTGACAGTTCCACATCCTTCTCATGTTGGGGGCACCAGAACTGGACACAGTATCCCAGGTGGGGATCAGGAGGGCAGAGTAGAGAGGGAGAATCCTCTGCTTCACCAGCTGCTCACTCTCCTCTGGATGCAGCCCTGGGACATGGGGAGTTTCTGGGCTGCGAGCACTCACTGCTGGCTCAGGGTGACTTTTTCATCAAACATCGCCCCCACGACCTCCTCTCAGGGCTACTCTCAACCCCTTCTCTGCCCAGCCTGCAGCTGTGACTGGGATTGCACTGACCTGGGTGCAGGACTGTACTTTGTTGAACCTCATGAGGTTTGCACAGTCCCACTTCTCCAGCCTGTCCAGGTCCCTCTGGATCCATCCCTCCCATCCAGCACATGACTGCACCACAGAGCTCGGTGTTGAACTGCCTGAGGGTAACCCTGATCCCATGAACCAGCAGCTCAGAACCCCCTGGTTCTGACTTTCAGCAATGCTCTGCCCCTCTGTCCCTAACTGACAGAACCTTGATCTGGTGAGCACATCACGGGGACTGACTCCTGCCAGTCTCACCTGGTGACAACACAGCAGTGGATTTGGATGTTTCCTTGTGCCATGTGCATGTTTGATGGCTGGCACGTCTGCCTGCCACGATACCCCTGTGATAGCACAGGACACTTCACACCTGGCTGAGCTGTGCAGTTTTGGGAGAGGAATCCTTTGAACCAGAAGCCAAAACAAACACAAAACTAATCCTGCTGGTGCAGAAGCTGCGCCAGTGTGCTTTTGCTGATAGAGAGAACAAAGCTTTGGTAGCCTGGAAACAACTGGTTTATTAATGGAGCACCATTAAATGGGGCCATTTCTGCTCTGGGCAGCATTCATACCAAAATATTAATGAAGTGCAGCTTTGTAGTCATTCGCTGGCCTCTGAGCAAAACCAACACCCTGAAAGGGGAGAAGGACCTGCCAGGGTTTCACCTCACCTCTTCCTTTTGTGGGATCTTGGGAAGGGCCTTTTGTTCTCTTTGATGTTTCCTCCTCATCTCCAAGCTCTGTGCACAGTGCTCACCTGTGAACAAAGCCAGTGCCGGTTGCTGGAGCTGTGGCTCTGTGGGCAGGAAGGGGATCATGACACTGGGATATATCCCTGACAGGGCAGGAACCTGCGGGGCTACCCCACCTGCACCCCATGCCCAATGCAGGAGTGCAGGAAGCGGGACACAAGCGCTGAGTGGCTTTTTTCTTATTCAAACCTGAGTTATTCAAACCCCTAGCTTTGAGCGGGCAAGGTGTAGCTTTAGGTACAGGTCAGTCTGTGCTCAGGAGGGCTCCTCCTTTCCTCCTTCCCCCAGCTCTCTTCCCTGCTGCTGCCTGGCCTGACCCACTGCCCGGGGCCACCTCTGGTGTCACCCACCCTCTGCCAGAGGGATTGTCCCCCAGCCCTGGAGCGCAAGCTGTACCATGGGAGCTGTCTGCACCCTCTGGGAAGGATAGGGATGGAGACCGGCCCTGGGGACCCCTCTGTTCCTTTCTGCATCATTTCTGTTGGCAGATAAAAGCCTGAGTTTTTCTGCTGACAGACCACTGTTTCCACAGTGGGAGAAGTGTGAGGCCAGCCTGCCAGGCAACACAGATTTCAGCAACTGCAAAAGGCTCTTGTTTCACCCTTTCCAGGGACACTTTACCTCTCCAGGCAGGGCCCTGCTCTGCCAGCACGGTGGCAGGGACAGTCTCCAGGCATGCTGCTGGTAGTGCCTGACTCGCTCCAAGGCCAAGGCGTCTGGGAAGCTCTCGGGATTCAAGCAGTCAACAAAGTCATGGTCATTCACATTTTATTTCCTGCCTTCCACCATGATAATGTGGTACCCGAACTTGGTCTTGACGGGAGGGTCCGTGTACACGGGCTTGTCCATGCTGCTCACAGGCAGGGCAAACGCTGCCTCCTGGAATGGTCCCACCATGGAGCCTCTGCTCATCCAGCCCAGGTCCCCCTGCAGGAAGGAACCATCGGGGTTAATCTTTGAAACTCTCAGTGCAGGCAGGGTGGGCGACGTGGCCGTGGGACAGGACAGCTGTCCGTGCCGGCAGCGGTGGCGAGCAGGGCCCGGGCTCCCGCAGGCGCTGCCCGGCCACACCGCCCTGCCCCGGGTGCGGCACCCACCCCTTGCCGGGCCTTGTCCTCGCTGTACTGCGCCGCCACCTCGCTGAAGCGCTGCCCGGACTTCAGCTTCTCCATGGCCTCCATGGCCCGGCCGTGCTTCTCGCACAGGATGTGTCGGACCTGGGAGGGGGAGTGGAGCGGGGCTGTGGCGAGCGGGACGAGCGCCCGGCTGCTGGGGAGGAGCGGGGACCCCCCCGCCTCACCGCCCGGACCCCGCGCTCACCTTCACGGCGCTGCCGCCTCCCTTCGGGCCCTGCGCTTTGCCCTCGCTGCTGCCGCCGCTGCTGTCGCCGCCTGTAAACGGAGCGCACTGAGACCGGCGCGGCCCCGGTCCCCCCACACGACCCGACCCGTCCCGTCCCGGTGCCGCCCCGGCTCCCGCCGGCCCCGGTCCCCCACCCGTCCCGTCCGGGGCCCGCCCGCGGCCCGGTCCGGCCCAGTCCAGACCAGTCCCGTCGCGGTGCCGCCCCAGCCCCCTCACCCTTGCCGGCTTTTCCGCCTCCTTTGCCACCCCCTTTCGCTTTAGGCGCCATCTTGCCGCCGTCAGGCCCCGCCCCTCCGGCCACGCCCCGTCCCGCCCCTCAGGCCCCGCTCTGCCCGTTCTGGCCGCGGCCGCGCCCACCGTGGGGTGTCCCTGGGGTGCGTTCCAGACTGTCCCCAGCGCCCAGGGTTCGTCCCAGCGCCCATCCCAGCTGCCCCCAGAACCCCACGTCCACCGCCACCATCCCGCCGTTCCCAGCACCCACCCTGGCATGTCCCCAGTCCCCCAGTGCCGCGGCTGTCCCTGGCGCCCTGAGCTGTGCTCTCACCCATCCCACCTGCCCCCAGGAAAAAAAAAAGTCCATCCCCAGTCCCTACCGTGGCCTGTCCCCGACACCCCACAGTGTCCCTGCGCCGCCCCACAAAGCCACTGGGGACACAAGTGCTCTGCAGACACCGCGAGAGGCGCCCTGCGGGTGGGGCCGGTGTCCCCTCGGGCCACTCCAGGGGTGTTCAGGGGGTTGCCCCCGCTCTCCCCACCCCGCGCCCACCCCTGTCCCTCGGCAGCCCCAGGAAGCACAGGCACACGCAGGCAGCAGGGAGCACTTTACCAAGCTGGCGAGATAAAAAGTACAACATTCCATAGTTGGCACCTTGGCGGCCCCCGTCCCGGGGCAGGGCTGTCCCACCGGCCGGGCTCTTCCCGGGACCCCACTGCCTTCCCAGTGGGACAGTCGCAGCCAGAGGGAGCAGGGAGTGAGTGGCCAGGGACGAGCACTCAGCCAGGAAGAGCCCATTCCTCTGGCCACGAAAATGAGGATCCTACGGCCGATCTCCATCCAACAGCCAATATCCATTCCATGGCCAATCTGTTGTCCCACAGTCGACCCCTGGCCCAGCAGCCAAGATTCACTCTGGCCTATCCAAACATCAACCACTCCGGCTGCCAGCAGTGCTGGGGGTACTGCAGGGGGGTCCCTGACCCGTGCTGGCCCCCAGCCCCCTTTGCCGGCTCCATCCCTGGTTTCCTGAGCAGTCATGTGCAAAATGTACCCGTCCCCAGACCTTCCCAATCCCTGCTCCGGCCCCATCCCGTGCCAGAACTCTGCCTCCGGGGGGGGGGCCATGGGATGAGGGCAAAGCGTGGACATTCATTAGAGCTTTTTTTGTGGGCTTTTTCTTTTTTTTTTTTCCTGAGTTTCTCAGCCTGGATCTTAATTACAGGCTTAAATCTGCAGCCATGGGAGAGGGAAGGGAGCAATGGGCAAGTACTGGGAGGGAGGGGAGGAGAACCAACTGGAGCCCCTGTGTGGTCAGATCCAGGGTGGAGGGGAGGACAGGGAGGTGTTTGCCCAGGCTGTGCTCCCCAGGGATGCAGAGTCTGACCCCTCAGAGCAGCAGCTGAAGGGCTGCCATGGTGCCCCACTGCCATCCGGACTTACCACACCGCTCCCCTTGGCACAGAAGGGCTGGAGCGTGCAGAAATAAAGCGGAAATTTCCCTAAACACCCCGTTTCCTTGTCAGCCACAGCCTGGCCCTTCCTGTTGCTCCAGGCGCGTGGCTGTGCTCATGCTTGGAGCTGGCTTTTCCTCCCCGCCCTCCCCTGGTCCCAGGGGCTGTCCCTGCCCTGGTGCCCCCCTCACCACGGCCTCTGTCGCTGTCAGCTGGGCCTCCCATGCTGGAGCCAGGCCAGGAAGAAGCAGCTGGGGATGAATGGGACAAATCCCACCCAGAGACGTGCAAACCCTCCTGTGCACGTGCCCTGGTGGCGTGTGCTCTGCTTGGCCTTGCTTAGGTCCCCAGCAGCTGGCGGGCAAGGGTGAGCGGTGGGCAACCCTGGGGGAACCTGAGGGATCACCGGGGAGGTGGTGAGCAGTGGGCAACCCCAAGGGAACTCCAGGAGTCACTGGGGAGGTGGCTCAGGTGACAACCGCCTGGATTCAAGCCACCACCTCAGTGGCATCCCAGGAACTCCAGTGGCTGGGGCAGCAGGAGAAGCTGTTGCAGGGTCCACTAGGTTTAGGGTTAGGGAGATGTAGGAGGCAGAGCTAGGGATGAACTTCCTTCCCACTTCCTTCCTGTGGTGCAGGACCCCTGCTGCAGGGAGCTGGAGGGGAGTGGGGCAACTGCCGGAACCTCTGTGTGGTGCAGCCGGTGGGGCTGGCGGCGGAGGTGACCCTGGGGGTTTGCTTTTGGACTGAGAGCTGAGGAGCTCCAAAATGCAGCATTTTGGGGGCTTTCGAGGGGTGGGGTTTTGGCTTGAGGTGGTGGCGCTGGCTGCAGACGCCGGGTGCCAGTTCCCCGTGTGGCGGGGAGATGAGGGGGAACCTCCTGTGACTCTTCAAACGCAACCGCAGATCCAGCTGAACCCCTGGCGTCTTCCCAAAGTGCATCTGTGTGTCCAGCCGAACTCAACCAGCGGATCTCTGCATGGGAAACTCAAGGTACAATGTCAAAGGGAAGAGAATCAAACATCATCACCACTGTGCATTAGAAAAGCTGTTTAAAGTACCACATGCCGAAGGGTCCAGAGAGTCTCAAGCTGCTTTGCTGCAGGCACGGGGTGACACCAGGGGCTGTGGTCCCACTCTGCTTCCTGGGTGGGCATCTTCGATCCCAGGAGCTGGCTCAACCAGGGCCAGTCCCAGGCACCACGATGCCTCTTCCCTCCTGGGAAGGGCCCACAGACATGGGGACTTGGGCTCCAGCTGCTGCCTCTCTGCCAGCAGCTCTCCAAGCAAGAAACAGAAGCAGAACCCCCTGGCAGGACACAGGGGCCCCTGGCAGCCAGAACAGCCCCTGGCAGCAGCGCTCCCTCCGCAGCCATCGCCACCCCTCCGGCTGGAGGGGCCCCTGCGTGGTCAGGGCTGGCTCCTGGGGCTGTTTGCATTGTCCAGCTCAGGGGCAAACTCTGTGATGACCCTCCGGGCCAGTGGGTTTGTGGTCTTGAGCAGTTCAGCGGCAGATGGCCGGGTACCGGGGCTAGTTTTGCTGCTCTTCTTCTGAAGCAGGGCTTTAAAATCCTCGTTCCTGCTGGAAGACTTCCCGCTGCTGCCCGCTGCTGCCGGGGACTCACTGGTTGGGGAGCCTGAAGTCTTTACAGGTGAGTGGGAGGTGGGTCGGCTGCTGAAGGTATCACCAGGTTCTTTCCTGCCCAAGACCTTCCTCTTTGACCTAGGCACCAAAGGGACATGGGTAGGAGCAGCCCTGGGCTGGAGTGAGGTCCCACAGGAAGGGGCATGGCAGTGCCCAGAGCTGGCTGTGCCTGCTCTGCTGGGGCAAGGTGACAACGCAAGCATGGCAGGTCATGCTCATGGCAGGACCAACCTGGACCCATCCCTGCAAGCTGGTCACCCAGCCTGGCTGTGCTCTGGAGCACTCAAGGCAGCACCAGCTGGGCTGCCCCAAGTGTAAGCATCAGCCCCATCATGGAAAATTGAGGTGTTGTGGTGGGGGAACACTGCACCGGGTGCTGTGACTGTGGCAGGATGCAGTGGGTACCAGGGGCTGTGCCCCCAGTGCCATACACCAGCCTTACCTGTGGATCACTGTGAAGAGATCCTCCGTGGTGCGGGATGTCGTGAACACCTCATCATCCTCCTCCACAATGGACTCAGCTGTCTTGTCACTGGCAAAGCTCTTCTCCTCTGTGCTGGCCTCTGCCGAGCTGCCTGTAGGCAGGGAGGAGAAGATGGCAAAGAGCCCCTTTGCGGCATGGGGGGACACCCCTGTCCTCGAGGTGATCCCACCATGGGGGTTGGGAGACCCTCACCTTGCTCCGAGGCAGGGTCACTGGCTTGCACAGTGTCCACAGCCTTGGGGGATGGCAGATCCTCAGCGTCGGGGTCACAGCAGGTGGGCTCAGCGTCCAGTGTGATGATGGGGCTGGGGGTGGGTGGCATGTCCCCCATGCTGGCTCCCATCTGTGCCGGGGCTGGCATGAGTGGCAGGTAGAGCACGCTGGGCTTTTTGGGCACCGGTGGTGGCACCTTGGCCTTCCTCCGCTCCCTGTCGGTGGCACCGCTCCGCTCCGGCTGCAGCTCCTCCAGGCTGCCCTGCGAGAGCCGCCGGGGCCCTGCTGGGGTCAGGGAGAAGGAGGGCTCCCCCAGACCCCTCCTCAGCTCCCCTCTCCGCAGCACCACAAAGCCGTCCTGGGGCAGCCCCTTCTCCTTGGCAGCGGTGCCTGGTGGGGACATGGAGGACAGGGGACCCTCCTCCCGCAGAGCTGGGGGTTTGGGCAGGATGCATGGAGGGCGCTTGGCCAGAGGCGGCTTCTCTGCCACAGGTGGCTTCACCTTCCTCTCTGGCCCTGGGCAAGGGCCACGCGCTGGCTCCTCAACATGCTCCGGGCCGTCAGCATTGTCCTCTGGCTCCGAGCGGCTGACAGAGCGGAGGCGGACAGACTGGAGGTCAGACTGTGTCACTACTGGCATGATGGGTATGATGGGACTGGTCTTCTGGGCCAGCTTGGTGCCAAAGGTGGAGTCGGAGTGGTGCCGGCTGACCTTCGTCTTCCCCTTCAGGGAGATCTTCAGCCCCGAGAGGTCAAGGTGGGCAGGTGGAGTCATGGGGAGGTCAAAGGACAGCCTGCCCTTGGGGCTCCTCTCCATGGGGGATATAGGGGGCAGTGAGGACTTCCTTTCAGGGACCAGCGGCCTCACCCGCACCTGGTGTGGGGAGTGCCCGAGGATGGCAGAGGTGGGAACGGTGGGGGTCGGGGTCTCTGACTGACTGGAGTACCCACTGGATGGGGACATCAGTCCTGTGGGCCTGCCTGGAGAGGAGGTCTTGAGGTCTGCCTCGGCAGAGAGCTGGGAGGGTGTTGTGGCCCTGGAGACAGAAGGGGACACAAGGGACTCGGAGCTGCCCCGTGTCTTGGCACACTCGATGGCCGTGGTCCCCGTGGTTGTGCTCGAGCTGGAGAGGGATCGGTAGGGATCACTGCTGCCCTTCCAGTTTGCGAGATGCCACTGATGGGGGGCAGGTGTGCCGTCGGGCTCCCTCCCCGCACTCCCCTGAGGGTCAGCATGCACCAACCGGTGGCCCTGGAGCTCCGGTGGGATGCACAGGCTCTTGGGCCGATGGTCCTTGGGCAGCGCTGCACTGAGCCCCGCGTCATCGTCCTGCCCCTCTTTGATCAGGGAGACACTGCGGGTGGGCGGCGAGGGCTTCTTCTTGGCCTTCTTCAGGGAGATGCTCTTGGAGCGCCGCCGCCGCTGCCCCTCGGGCTCCAGCCCCAGTGAGATGTTGTCAGTGCTGGTGCTGCCCTCGGAGCTGGCGCTGGGGTAGCCCAGGGCATAGTTGGCGCTGCCTCGCCGGGTCTCAGCATACGCGATGTCCATGGAGCAGAGGGACCCTGAGTCCGTGGGCACCGACAGTGACCGCTCGCGGAACCGGCACCCTGCCCGCTCCACCTCCAGCCGCGCCGGCCCTGCCGCCGGCTCCGGCTCCTCTCGGCTTCCCGGCGAGAAGTTCCCCTTGGCTTCTTGGATGCAGGTGAGGGGGGATGCAGGCACTGGGCCGGAGAAGAAGCTGGGCCCATTGTTGCCCATGCGCTCTTCCGTGGCGATGAAGAAGGAGGGGGTGGCAGTGGCGGGTGAGCCTGGGCTGGGTGATGGGATGGAGCCACCTGGTGATGTGCAGGTGGGCCCCTTTCCCAGGCCGGCGGTGGGGCTGGGGGGGCTCCCGTAGCCCAGGGTGCTCCAGGGTGGGGAGAAAGGGGTGCCCTGCATCCCGTTGCAGGTGCTGGCACAAGGGGTTGCCGCCCCGTCCATGGCAGCAGGTGGCTGGCAGCAGCGGGCACCAAGGTCACTGAAGGTCTTCCTCAGTGGGGCCGAGAGGGGCTGGCGGGAGCTGATCTCCTGGGGTGCCGTCCCCCCGCTTGTGGCTTCAGACACAAAGCTGCAAGAGAGGGACTCAGCGATGGGCGTGTGTGTGCTGGATGTGGGGCCGTTGGCACTGCCTGTGAGGAGAGACACAGTCTGGTGAGCATCATCCTGCCTCACTCTCAGCGTCATGGTCCTGCCCTGCCTGCCAGGGGCCAGGACTGGTCCTGTGGCCAGTCTCGGGGCTGCGTCTCTGCCCAGGCATGAAACGTGTTTGGGTGGGTGGGGAGGAGGGGTTGTCACCCCTTTAACAGGTGCTCTCCTCCCATCTGTATCAGCATGGCCATAACACAGCAGGGCCAGCCCTCGAATCTGGGATCTGTTATCTTGAATGTGCCATGGACAACTCAGCAGCCATGGCAGGAGGATCTATCCATGGGATCATCAGCCCAACAGCAACCAAAGTGCTGCCGTGGTGCTGCTCGATGGTGGGGACACAGATGGGGACCAAGAGGAGCCGGGCCAGGCATTGCCAGCTGAGATGGGGAGGGACATGGTGGCTCACAGTGCCACAACATCATAGCACACCTGGGATGGGGAAGGACCTGGGAACCCTGGGGTGGCTCTCAATTCCACCTCAGCACAGCTGGGATGGGGAAGGAGATGGGAGACCCCACTCCAAGCACCCCCAGCAGACAGGGATGCTCAAGGCTGTGGTGGGCTGAGGTCTAACTAACTCCAAGGGAGGAGCCGTTGATGGTCTGACTGCTGTCATGGGGAGAAACCTTCCTCCTACTCGGTGACAACTGCCTTGGAGCACCCAGTGCCATGGTCCCCCCTTTCCCTAGTTGTCTCCAAGGAGAGGTTGGCTCTGATTTCTCTACACCTTCCATAGGGGACAGCAGGACAGAGTCCCCGAGCCATGGTGGCTGCTATCCTCACAGGTCCAACGCCAGCCCAGGAGCACTGCAGGCACCGTCAGCCACACACACCCTCAGCACTGGTGTGGCCAACTCGCCAGCCCCAGCAAAGACCTGGGCAGGGGTGTGCCCCACAGCCCTGGCACCCTGTGCACAGGGTCTGCCCACACTGGGGAAGGTGGATGCAGAGACAGAGCTGCTGGAGCCAAGGCTGGGTGACTCCTGTCTCAGGATCCTGACTTGGGGTGAAGGGGCTGTCCCCAGTGCCATGCCAGCTCCAAGCCAGCCCTGTGTCACCAGCGTGCTCAGCACCTCAGTGCCCCAGGAGGGCACAGAGTCAGCGTGGTGCCTGCACCTCCCCATGGCTGGGGCACCTGTGCCTGGGCAGGCTGCCAGCCCCTGGGGTGGCTCTGCCGCCCGGTCAGGGCAGCTCTGGTGGGGTGCCAGCCCTGCCTGTGTGCTGCCTGCATGGTTCTTGCCGTCACCTTGGTCTCGCAGGGACAGGTTAGGGAATCCAATAATGGTCCGTCTACGCCGCAGGGTGGACTTTGGGTTCATCGCGGTCTCTGTGTTAAACAGGGAGTGACGAGCACTCGCGAGCCTAGCAAAGTGCTGCCCTGTAGCCAAAACAAACAGCGGTACACCACGCTGCTGGGAGCCGCTGCCTCCATTCCCCCTGTCCCCTGTGTGTCCCTAGCCTGGGATGGTGACACAGGGTGGAGCGTGGGATGGCAGGAGGATGGTGTGAGCCATGTGGGGTGAGTGCAGGGGAGAGGGAGGCACGGCAGGAGATGCTGCGGATGGAGGTGGGACGGATGGAGAGCTGCTGAGACTGGACTCTTGCTGCATGACAGGCACTGGTGAGGCTGGACCCTGCACCACAGAGCTGAGACACACTGGGCATGTGGACATGAAGCACGAAGAGGAAAGGGACCAGTGCGGCCAGGCACAGGTCTTCCTGACGGAGGGAAAGGGTGGACAGACACCTCTGCCCTTCAGAAGGGGTACCTCACCCAGCCACCACCCCAGACTCTGACCTGGGGCAGAGCATGGCAGCTGTGTCTGCAAGGACCAGGCAGGACCACACTGCTGGGAGCTGCAGCCCCAAGAGGACAAACAGACTGACAGACAGGTGACAAAGGTGAGACAGGCTGAGTGCATGGCGTGTGACAAGAGCCCAGGTGACAACGGACCTGGCTGGCTGGGCAGCACAGCAGGATGTGAGACCTGCCAGAAGCATGGCCGGTGGTCCAAAGCTGTGGATGGCATGGGAGGTGGCTGGGAATGATGGGTGCCAGTGTGGTCCTGCTGTCCCCTCTCTGCCCTGGTGCCCACCTGACCCACACAGACACAGCTCATAATCCCAGCCCCCTCCCACCACCCCATGCCCCACCCCAGCAGGTGCTGGGGCACATCTCTGCCCTCACCCTGTCCCCCCTGCCACGCCACGGGGTGCTGCCCTACCCGAGACATTAATGGGGACGATGTTGGTCTGGACGGTGCCGGGCTGGTGCCACTGCTTCTCCTCCACGGGGGGCAGGGGAAAGGCCCTGGGCCAGGGGGCTGCTTGTCCGGGCTGGTGGGGAGGCTCAGGGAGGCGTCAGGGGGACGAGCGCTGAGGGGGGTGCTACTGGTGCTCTCCTCTTCAGCAGCTCGCCGGCCCGGGGGCTGCAGGGGGAAAGGGAGGGAAAAGCACATCAGCCACACAAGGGACAAGGGTGGGACACAAATAGGGGCTTGCCACCTACCCCCATACTCCAGCACTCACCATAAGCACGAACTCAAGACGCTTGGCAGGTGGGGGTCGGGGTGACGGTTCAGGGGGGGTGTCGGGGTGACCAGCAGTGCGGAAGGTCTGCCCAGTGACCCTGCTCTCGGTGTACTGCTCCTCATACTCCTCTGCAAGAAAAACGACACCTGGGACCCTGCTCCAGCTGTTGGCTGCCGTGGCAGGGGGCACGCAAAGAGAGGGGTGACTGTCCCCTCTGGCTGTGCCCAGCCTGGCTGGCCACCCCTGCTCAGGACAGGCAGCTCAGAAGTTGGGGAAGGGAGATCCCAAGGAGGGTCTGGGGGGGTTGGTGAAGCAGCAAAAAGACTCCAGCAGCTGGCCCCACTCCTCCCAGGGGCCTGCCAGGGGATGTGGTGGGTCCTGCTGGGAAGCAAAGCCCCACTGGGGACAGCCAGGAACTCAGTGTGTCCTCATCCTGTAATTGTTGAGCTAATTAATGCTAGTGGCTGTGGACTGGTGGAAAGCAGGGCTGCTCAGGCTGACTTAATGAGATTACAAGCTGGGGGATGGCTGGGCTGCTGATCTCATCGATGCCTGCGGAGCATCCGAGGCAGGGCCGCGTGACGGCCCAGGCCAGAGATTGGAAGAAAACAAAACCACTGGCCACGTTGATCCAGTTAGGCAGATTGGTGGCAGGTCCCTGAGGCCCTCGTGAGCAGAACTGCGCTGTCGTGGGGCTTGTGGGTGACCTGGTGGCTCCAGTGGCCTCAGAAGCCCCAGTGGGCGGTCCTGGCCCCAGTCGCTTTGGCACTTGCAGTAGTGATTTGGGAGCAGAGAACAGTGAGGAGCTACTGAAGGCTGGGACCTCTCGGGACCCAACTTCTGCAGCCTGGTGAGGTCCAAGGAGCAGCTTGGACATGTGCATGGGAGATAAGCTCACTGTTTCATGGCGATCATGTAGCCAGGGCAGCACCCATGTACCACCCTCACCCAGCCCACCCTAGCCCCTCTCCCTGTTACCTTGCAGTAAGCTCTGGAGGTTGAGCTGGGCCTCCTGGTGCAGCTGCTCCATGCCCGGTGGGCGCCCGGCTGCCAGGAAGACGTTCACAGGCTGCTGCCATGGCAGCTTGGCAGGGGCAGCTTTCTTGCTCTCAAGGTCCAGGTTAGAAGTGGCTGCAGGTGGGAGAGAGCAGGGTCAGAGGCAGGCAGGTGGGCAGCTTCTCTGCAGGTGCTGCCACTGGACAACACCGCAGCGGCACAGCGCTCATCCCACCCCACCTCTCCAGGAACATAGAGCCTGGGATGTGGCTGTGTCCCACCCTGGCAGGCTGCTGCCCACTGGGACCAGCCCCCATCACTGCCACCGCTTTGGGGGCTGCGCACTGCCCCTCTGGGCTGCCAAGAAGGGAGCCGGGTGAAATTGGGGAAGGAAGCCAGCCGTGCCACTTGTGCCCAGCCGCACCCGGGCACAGGAAACGCTGCACACCCCAGTGGAGCAACATCCCAACTGCAGAGGAGCAGAAGTTGCAACTGAAAGGCGGGAGCCAGGGGACCTATCACTTCCATTGCCCTGGATTCAGGGAGCTGGGGGCTCACACACCCTGTCCCCGTGTGGACCTCTCCAGAGAAGGGAAGCTCTGTGGGACTGCCCAGACCCTCTGAAACACCCTTATGGGTGAAAAAGTTCCTGGGAGAAGGATCTGGGCTTGCTGGTGAGCTGGCCCAGTGGGGAGCTGAGCGTTGCTCTGGCAAACAGGCTTTGCCATGGGAACGCTGCAGCCCCAGCACTGCCACTCTGAGCGGATGTGGGTTTGCTACCCAGCACGGAGCTGAGGGAGTGCCACCGCTGGCACGCTGCCTCTGAGGACATCCACGCCCCAGCGGGGCACAGAGCAGGTCTCTGTGTACAGGGATATGGATGGCCAGAGTCTCATCCCTGGGGATTTAGGGCTCATCCTGCAGCTGCCTGGTCCCTGTCCCCATCCCCATCAAGTTGAGGTTCTTCAATTACCAGCATATGACAAACAGTCCCCCTCTGCTACCCACAGCGTGATGCCGTGGAGTGCCCGTCCCCAGGAACATGCTACTGCCCTGCTGCCAAACCCTGCTCTGTGCCAGACCCCAGCCAAGGCAGTACCAGCGATCCCACTCACCTGGGAAGGGGACCAGCCCCAAAACAGGGCTGGGACCCCGAGGACAAACCACGTTCCCCTCTGCCTGTGGTGGTCGGGCTGCCATGCCCCAGCTCACCTGCACTGCGTCACAAGCATCCCCCTTGCTGTCCCTGGATGCCCTCCTGCGCACAGTGCCCTCCTACCCCCAAATGCCCTTCTGCCTACTGGACCCTCCTAGCCATGATGCCATCCTACCCCTGGATGCCCTCCTGTCTACAGTACCCTCCTGCCCCTGGGTGCCCTCTTGCCCACCCTTCCCCCAGCTGATGGAACCCGCACAATGCACAGCACCCCAAAGCAAGGTGCCACGTCCCCAGCCTAGTTACTTTTATAATTTGTGTTTCCATAACGACGGGCCTTAACACCAGGTTTTTTTCCTTTTTTTTTTTTTTTTTCTTCTTTCTTCTTTCTCCTCTAAATAATTTGACTTGTTTCCATATCAACCAAGAGGTGTTGGGGCGCATGTGTGCATGTGTGCGGTGGGCACAAGGCAAGGTTGGGCATCTCCCCAAAAACCTGACCCACACAGCTGGGGGCAGGGACCGCACCTTCACCTCTGAATAACCCAGCCCCCCAACCTGCTGTCTTTGGCAACGTGGGGGATCCACTGCTGGCCCCCCATTTCTGAGCGCATCCTGAGGGTGCACCCCACATGCTGGCTTGCTGCACCCCTCTGCCCAGGTCTCACAACCCCAGCCTTCGGCCTTGGCACAGCTGATGCTCCTCACCTTCTGCCCACACCCCCACAGCCACCTCCACTACCCCTGCCAACCCCAAAGCAGCTACACGGTGTCCCACCAGAACTTGGGGACACACAAAGCGCAGTCCCCCCGCTGCCCCCTCCACCTGCCCGAGCTCCCGCTGCCCTCCCCAGAGCACAGAAGCTCACCTCTGCACCTCGGCCCTGCTGCTGGGGCAGCCCCGGCACCCACCCCCGGGCGCCGACCACGTGGGCAAACCGCAGTGCCGAAACTGGGGGCCGCCCTGGGCGTGGAGGAAGTGTGGCAGCACCCAGAGAAGGGCCCAGCACCCTGCCCTGCAGCGAGGGCAGCCTCGGCCGGGCAAAGGGGAACGGGCAGCAATAGGGTGTCCTGTCCCACAGAGCTTCCCCCTCTTTGCTGACACGCACTCATTTGGGCCCGTGAGTGAGGCAGCGCAGCCCTGAGCTGGCACAGCCAGCGGTGCAGGCATTGCTGAGGTGCTGGCATTGCTGAGGCGCTGGCATTGCTGAGGCCTGGGCATCATGGGGTCCATCTCCCCAGCTGGGGAGGAGAAGAGGTGGGGGCAAAGATGGTTGAGCCAAGCATTCTCCTGGCACCCAGGTGCCCAAAACCTGCACCGCAAAGGCAGCTCCATGCCAGAGTGAGTAGCACTCCCAGGCTTTGGCTTTGGCTCCCTGGGAGCAGCCGCTCTGAGGGAGTTTTGGGAGCAGCACTCAGAGCCCAGCACCACGTAGCAGCTTGGCAGTGGGGAGCAGGACCCAGCAGCCCTGATCCAGCAGCGCTGTCACCAGCGCTCCCAAGGGATGGGCAGTGTTTGAGAGCAGCCTGGTGCGGGATCAGTAGGAGGGCAGGTTTGGAGAGTGTCCGTGGAAGCCCGGCTGCCACCCCCATCCACAGACATGGGACGCCTCAGCGAAGCAGGAGTGCCCAGTGGTAGGACACGGCAGCTGGTGGGAATGCCCTGCCACACTTATCAGTGACAGGCTCAGAACAGAAAATGCCTCTGAGGGGCCCCAACCCCGTGGCAAATGCCTGCGGGAGGTGAATGGCATCTCAGCAGAGCAGAGCCAGAGAGACAGCTCCAACTCACCACCCCAGCAGTCTCGACCTGAGTCTGCCCAGTCTCAGCACTGAGGGAAACTGAGGCACAGCTGGTGGGGAGGTTCACCTTGCTCCCTGATGGCACCAGGTCCCCCTCCTGACCCCAGGGCTTGCAGAGAGGAGCAGGTAGCATCCCCTGCTCTGCCTGCAGATGAACATGGTCACGGAGAGCATCCAGCTGGGATGTTCCCACAGAGCCAGCACTATCAGCTGCAACAGATGCTGCAGCCTTAGTCCTGCTCAGCACGACCCAGTGTCCCAGCTAGGGGTGTCGTGGCCATGGCAGGTACACAAGGATCAGGGTTGAATTCCAGGGAAGTTTGCTTTAAGGGGAGCTGAACTCCACTCTCTCCTGCAGGAAAAGTGTCCCTGCAGGACTCCCAGCCCCTCAGCACTTCCCGCGTCACCGCCGCTCCACACCAGCGTCCCTACTCACCCACAGCCCAGGCATCCCGAATCCACAGGGAGATATTTGACAGTGCCATCGGAGCTGTTTCAATCCAGGCTGAAGCTCCCGTGAGACGGCGCCTCTCGCTCAAATCCACCGCCAAACTTTTACCTCTCAGGCTCGCTCCCCACGCACGGGAGATGCCGGGGACGCGGCTGGAGCTGCTCGGACCCTCTCCGCCAGCGCGGAGCTATGGCAGGAATGATGTAATGGCAGCAGCGGGCGATGCGCCATCAGCAGAGCAGCCATGGCAACGGATACGGGCACAGCGGCAACTGCCGCCGGTCCGGAGCACCGAGCAGGCCAGAGGGCGAGGGTGGTGAACTTGGAGGCTGAGACTGATCCTGACAGCTCCTCAACCCGCCCTCCGGAGCCGCTGCGCCTCAGTGCTGGTACATTATACCGCTGGCTACAAGCAAGCGCCGCGACCCGCCGCCGGCACCAGACTGCTCACTGCCAACGCGTGCGGCTTGGTGACATTCCCGTGGTATGCAGCCAAACTCATGCTGCTCCACGGCGAGCGGAGAGGAAGGGAAAAGAGCAAACAGCGGGAGCTGGCAGCGGACGCAGAAATGCCTCCTGTCCTAAGCTCACCCCCCACTGAACCGGACCCGCCGGGCCAGCTCCCTGCGGGATGTGGAGCGGCATCCGTGTGCACGGTAGCTCCAGGGCCGGATGCCCACCCAGGTCTGAAAGATTTCCCGAAGCGACATCCCACTGACAGCCCCAGGCCTGGTGCCGCAGGGCAGGGGTGCTCACCAGGCAAGCAAGCGCTCACACACACAGTGCCCAGGATGAGCCCTTGCTGGGACAGCCAACAGACTGCGCCCTGTCCAAATCCGACCCTCCCAGGACACCGTCCCTCCATCGCATCTCTGGTGGCACAGCTCCAAGCCCCTGGCGAGGCAGAGCCACCTGCACAGGTGTCTGACCTGCTGGTATTTGAGCCCAGAAGGGCTGGAAGCCTTTCCGGGGTGCCCATGCCCAGCCTCCCAGTGTGGCCACCCTGCACAGTACATCCATGTGCTCCCACACAGGTGCCCAGCTGGACCTCAGGCACTGAGGAATGACACTGTCTTGACACACCAGATCTGCTGGAGGCTTTTGGTTCTTCCGCTCTCCCTGTTTTACATGAAATCAGCTGATTTTTGTACTGATGGGAGATAAGGATGCTGGAAAAGTTGCTGGGGGCAGAGGGGTGGGTTTGGCAGTTGTGGGGTGAAGGCTGGATTATGTGAGAGGTTTCTATGAAAACCAATAGCAGCAAAACAGTCAATAATAACATCACTGTCCATCAGTAGGGCTCAGAGTTAACAGTGTGCTAGGACACTCTGCCCTGGGTACATTTGGTCCCGGCAGTGCAAGATGGGCCCTGGTCAGGGAGTTTTGGCAGGACGGGAGGTGCATGCGCTGCAGGAAGATTTGGCTGATGAGGTTTGCCCAGGAGGAGCCTGGCATGCCATCTGCCTGTGCCGTGGGGATGGGAGCTGCCTGCAGCCGTGCTGGCAGCAGGGCTTGGCCTGGGACTGCGACCAGCCAAGGTGGACTCAGGCTGCTCCCTGCCAAGGGGCCAAGATCCACTGCTCCCAAGGATGGAGCAGCAGCACTGGGGTGGGGGCTGGAGCTCCAGAGCCTGGCTGGACCCAGATCCCTGCACCAAGCCCTTCACCATAGGCAGCAGGACCAGCCCCCAGATGGTCACTTCCAGTCCCGCCACACCTCCCCGACAGCCTGGCATCCTCCTCATACTGCGACCCTCACTCTCCCATGCTTCCCAGCAAAAATCCAGGCACAAACCTTTCCTGAGAGCCTCAGGAAACCTGGCAAGGCAACCTGTCATCCCTAGCCAGTCCTGGGACCCCGGCATCACAGCATCATAGCACAGGGTGGCTATGGGCAGCTACCCGCCAGCCTTCCTGCAGTGATGTCTCCAGCCTAGCTGGGACTCTTTGGTGGCACATGGAGGCCCAGGTAGTCCTCACCACTCTGCCTGGAGTGCAGGCTGCCTGTGCCAGAGAGGCTGCTTCCAGAGGGGTGCTTCCAGGAAAGCGCCGTTTCCCCTGTGCCTGGCTGGTTTTACACTCCGCGGGACCGGGACAATGCGAGGAAGTCGCCTGAGAGGGGAATGTGGCCAGAGGCCCCGGGACAAAGGGGACGGAGACCTGAAATCAGTCACAGCAGGAGAGATAGCAGTAACAGCAGTGAGGGTCCTGGGTGGCTGTGATGTTTGTACTGACCCACAGTCCTCACTCCTGCTGCCACCAGCATGTGGGAGCTCCCAGGAGGGCACAGTGCCACGGAGACAGGCAGGATCTGTCCCCGCAGGACTGAGGAGTGGTCAGTGGGACACGCAGGCTGGGAGTCTCCATCTTTCTCTTGCTTTGTCAGAGCAAAGACACCCCACCAGGCTGGGGAATGGCAGAATGATTTAAAAGGGACAGGGACATACCCCAGGTCAGGCTGGGGAAGGTGGGACAAGACTGATACTGCTGGGCAGCGCTGACCTTGGGACTATTGCATGGCCTCCACAGGATCTGTGCCCAACAGTTGCCCTCAGCCCCCAGAGCGAGCAGTGCCTGCCGACCCCACCGCCCCAGTGCCCACCCCAGCCCTGCCCTGCTGCCCGCCTTACCTGCCCGGTGCCAGGGTGCCAGGAGCCACTCCACCTTGGCCATGGCTGTGGGCACCAGGGGAGGCTGCTCCCTCCGGCCGCCCGGGAGCTCCTGCCTCAAAACCAGTCCGAGAGCACTGAGCTTCCCCTGCGTCCCCGCCGCCCCAGCTCCAGCGGGGAAAGGAAGCGACCAGGAACTGGTTGTTTGAGTCAGCGCCACAACCCATTGTCCCAGCCCTGGCCCCGGCCCCTCTTCCTTCCCCGGGGAGGGATGGCAGAGGGACCGTGGCTCTGCACAGCCCATCCCCGTCACAGAGACCAAACATCTCCCGCCGTGGCCGCAGCAGCAACCAGCACCATCCGAAAGGGGTGGTGGGTCACTGGGGGGACACAGTGCACAGGGGCTTGTCCTCCTGGCAGAGCACAGTCATTCCTACATGGAGCAGCTGCAAGCATCTTCACCTGGAAACCAGCACCTGGAGCCTGATGCTGCCCACCGGCCTGGCCAAGCCACTGCTCCCCAGCCTCCCAATTCCTAGCAGCTAACGAAAAGAGGGGCCCTTCTGAATCCACCTGGCTTTGCCCTGGGAGCTGCCAGAGATTCCAGAGCTTCCTCTCACTTTGGCGCCTTCCAAAGCCTGGAGTAAAGGTTCCTTGGGGACCACTTTCCCAGTGCCCCAGGGCTTTGTAAAGCTGAGCTGGCTTCTCCCAGAGGATGGAGGCCCCTGGGAACCAGGGCTGTGGCAGACCCAGGAATGCAGCCCCAAGCCCTGGCTTCCTGCAGGAAGAGGCTTTGGAGCCATAGGAGCAGCATGTGGAGCATGTGCCTCACCAGGGGCTGCTGCCACCCATCCTGTGCCAGGCACTCAGTGATGCTGCAGACTGAAACATCAGGATGGGTGATGGATGGCAGATACCAGCAGAGCTCATTTTCCGCTGGCAAACCAGGCACATGGCTCTGACGGATGGGGGAACAAGGAGACCTGTCCCCATAGCCATTGCTCCTCTGGGACCCCATCCCACAGATATAGTGCCAGTGAAGACAGATGCAGTAACTGGAGAGCTGCCTCCCAGCCCACCAGTCCACAAGGCAGAGACCAAAAACTTATCACAGTAGTGTCAGCAGCCCACGAGCATATTGCCTGTTCCAAGAGGCCCCTCCAAACACTACCATGCACACAAGCCAGTGGCTGTGGCTCAGCACACTTGGTTCCTCTGGGACATGAGGAAAGGGTGAAGGTGGCTGTGCATCCCCACCAGTGCCGCAGGAGCTACTGAGTACTAAGCAAAAGGGTAGACTGAGGGGTCACTTGCCCCAGACTGATCCAGCCATTCCCAGACTCACAGGCCATGAGGAAGGCTGGATTCTGGATCCCCAAGGCAGAGTAAGACCCCTCTGTGCACTGTTCTGTGCATGGGGCAGAAGGATGACCCTGCCTGAGGTTAGACAGGGTGCCTCCCAGTATGGCAGGCCCAGGCTCTGCTCTCCCGCCAGTGCATCCCACCCCACCAGAGACCCAGACAGGGCTGCTCCTTATGGAGCCTCAGTTCCCTCCCCTTGGCAGATAAGCTCCAGCCTGGACCCACCACTGCCTCTCTGCGAAGAAGCCTGCATGCAGCTGCTCAGGAATGCCCCAGCCACTGACGTCCCAGGAGCCCCGGGAGTGCCCAAGTATTCGCCTCAGCTTTACACCCAAGACAAGTTTCAAGCTATCCAGTGTCAAATCCCATTCCTCTCTGCTTTCAGTATCCAGGAGCAGGTCTCCCCAGAGAGGCCAGGCACCGGAGGGAGATCTGTCAGAGACCTCCAGGGTGACTTGTGCCTGAGGACAGAGATGAACCAGCTCAGGTGCAGGGGCTGGCCCCACAGCCCCCCTTGGGCCCTTCCCACAACTCCAAGAATTCCTTTGATGATAACGGAGTGGGATTAGCTCCTGTCCCCTTCAGAGCAGCAGCGGCACCACGTGGGAGGGACAGGCAGGGAGCAGGCCAGCATCCTGTGGTCTGGGCACTGCTCACCTTCCATGCCCGCGAGATGGGGAGTCAAGGGCGATGTGCTGGGTACTGAGCGGCACAGCCTCCCTCATCCCTCAGGACCTGCAGGCCAGCATCCCTTGGCCTAAGCACTGCCTGCCTCCCAGTAGGGAACAGGCCAGATCCCATGTCCATGAGGCCATGTACCTCTGAGGCCAATTAGTCCAAGCACTGCCCACTTCCCATGCCTGCCCCAAGATGAGAGCCAAGGGTGATGTGCTGGTTACTGACCAGACCTGCATCCCTCATTCCTCACAGCTCAGCATCCCTCACCCCTCCAACCCACAGCTCAGCATCCCTCCTGATCCTCTCCTGAGCAACCTGCAGCTCTTGTGCCCCGTTTCAGAGCTTCGCACCCACCGCTATAACAGCGGTTGCAAAATTAGACAGCGTCAGGCTGTGCTGCCACCCCCTCTGCCCGCTGATTATTAAGCTGTGACAGTCACTTGCGCTGTGACAACCAGTCCCCATTTTCCTGCAGTTTCTAAGCAATCTTCCTGAGGTCTCTCCCAGGGCTGGCAGCTCCCTGCCGCTGCCCACTCCAGTGTGTCCTGCTCCCAAGCCAGCAGGCAGGAAAGGGCAGCAGGAACTGAGGCCAGCAGGGCCAGGCACGCTGCACTCCAGGGCTCCAGGACTCTGATGGGCCTGGCACCAGGAGCCGTGGCAGATCCCAGCTCCCAGCTCTTCTGGCATTCCCAGGAGCTGGGCTGGGAGGACAGCTGGAGAGTGTCTGGGAAGGGTTGTTGAACTGCCTGGGCCAGCTAGGTGGGGACAAAGGAGTGACCGGACAGGTCCTGCTTGTCTGACCCAGCTTCCTCAGAGGGCACCTGCAGGGTGACTGCTCCCAGCTCCGAGCAAACCCTGTGCTCCCTCTGCTCCCCCCACAACATACTCCCTGTGGAGCTGAAAGGCTGTCCGCCTCCCCAAGATCGTTTGTGGTATGAGAGCCCCCAGACACCCACTATCTCTGCGATGCGTGGGAGAAGGGAGCTGGGGTGCGGGGGCTACACAGGCACCAGGCTCGCTGCCTGGGGGGGCCCAGCTCCGGGCACAGCAAGTGCAGGAGCTCCCCGTTGCCAGGGCTGGCACCTCACTGCCTGGGGCTGGATGCCCATGCCCAGGGCTGGCTCCTCACTGCCTGGGGCTGGTTCTCCACACCTTGGGGCTGGCTCCCCACTGCCTAGGCATGGCTCCCTGTCCTTATAGCTGGTTCCCCACTGCTTGGGTCTGGCTCCCCGCAACACGCGGGGAGCACCTGTCCCACACGCCGGGGGTCCGCGGTGCCCCACCGCCAGCCCCCATCCCACGCCGTTCCCGCCGGGAGGCCAAGCCTCGGCCGGGGTGACCTCTGCCCGTGTCCTCCAAGCGACCCACCGGGGAGCGCGGGAGCGCGGGGTGCCGAGCCCCAGCCCGAGCCAAGCCTGAGCCGCCCCCTCCCCGCCGCCGCAGTGCGAGGGTCGCGGTGTTCGTGGAGGTGGGGGGTTGGCGGGGGCGCGGGTCCGGTCCCGCCCGCCCGCGCCGGTACCTGTTGCCGAGCGCATCCTGCCCCGCCGCTGGCTGCGCGGCCCCTTCCGCTGCGCGTTGCCCATCCTCCGCCGCCGCCCGGCCCGGGCTCCGAGCGCCGCCGCCCCCGGGCCGCCCCCCGGCCGCCCCCCGCCGGGCCCGCCGCGCCGCGCGGGGAGGAGCCGCGGGGCCGGGCCGGGCCGGGCCGCATCGCTCCGCTCCGCGCCGCTCCGAGCCGAGCTGAGCAGAGCAGAGCCGAGCCGAGCCGAGCCGGGCGGCACCGGCACCGGCCCCCGCCTCGCCGCCCCCTCGGAGCCGAACGGGCGCCCAATGGCGGCGGCTGCGGGAGCCGGGAGTGAGCGGCGCGGGGATGGGGAGTACCAGGGTGATGGGGATGGGGTGGGGGGTAGCGGGGCTGGGAGCCCCCGGAGTGATGTGGATGGGGGGGCTTTTGGGGCTGCGGAGGACCAGGGTGATGGGGATGGGAGGTACCAGCGCTGGGCACCCCCGGGGCAGTGGGGATGGGGGTGACACTGGGGCTGGGCAACCCCGGGGAGATGGGGATGTGGGGTACCAGGGTGATGGTGGGAAGGTACCGTGGCTGGGCACCCTTGGAGCAATAGTATAGGGATATCAGGGCTGGACAGCCCCCAGGGTGATTGCATTGGGCTGGGAGTCCTAGGGCTGGGCAGCCCCCGGGGTGGTGGGGATGGGGGGTACCAGGGCTGGGCACCCCTGATGGGGCTGTGTGGGAGGTGCTGGGGCTGGGCATCCCAGGGTGTTGGGGCTGGGGCTGGGCCTGGGTGGGGGTCCCAGTGCTGGCCCCGTGGGGTGTGTGGCTGAGCAGGGCATGGATGGAGGCAAAGGGTCAGGGACCTCTGCCAGGAGGCAGAGGCCATCTCCAAGAGCAGCTGGAGCTGTGCACAGGGGGAGACAGGAGGTGTGGGGAGAGCTTTGGGGCTGGGTCCCATCAGGAACCCTATGTGAGAGCCACAGGACACTGCAAGAGTCAGACATGGGGCTGATGAGGTATCAGGTAGGAAAAGCAGGGGGGTCCCTTGTCTGCCAGCACCTCTAAGGTCCCCATTCCTGGCACTGAGTGTCCTGGGCACTGCCATGACTGCAGTAGGCTGAACTGCATGCAGGGACCCCCACCAGGAGAGGGCTGGACACTGGAATCAGCTACTGCCCTTGGGCTCCTTCCCCTGGCCCAAGCCTCACCATATCCCTCTGATGGAGAAAACAGCCCTTCCCAGGGTGGGGAAACCTGCCCAGCATACCCAGGCCTCCTGCACACAGCCCTTCACCCCTGGGAGCCAAGAGGGATCAGGATGGCTCATCTCAGCCACTGTGTCCTGGGACAGAGCATCCCTGACACATCGGATCTTGGCATCTGTGTAGCAACAGAAAGGACCAGAAAGTGCTGGGAGGTTGTTATGGAAACAGCCACAAATTGGATCAGTACTTGGCGCAAGGAGCGGTTTGTGTGACTGATGTGGGAGCAGGTGGGTGTGACAGCCGCAGCAGTGCGGGGGGCCCCGTGGTGGCACCTCAGTGCCCGTGCCGTGCCCCTGTGCCAGGAGTGAGCTGTGCAACTCGGGGGGACCCGGGTGGTCGTGGGGCTGTGGGCAGTGCAGGCTGGCTCCCACCCACCTCACCCAGCCTCCGCACTCCCTGGGAAGGCGAAGGACTGGGGTGAGCCGGGGGTGGTTTGCAGAAATTCCATAAAGAAAATACTTTCTGCCACTCCCCCAAGCCCCAGCTGAGCCCAGACACACGGCACTCATGCAGCAGCCCCTCTGCAAACAGCCCCTCTTGTGGGTCGTGGGGTCAAGATTCAACAGTGGGACCTTTGTTCTGCACCCTACCCTGGGGAGCCGGGCAAGTCCTCATCACCCCGAGACACTTGTCACCTGATGGGGGGCAGCCCCAGACCCCAGGTCCTCCTTGAGCCCTGTGGGCACATGCAGCCACCTGCACTGACCTGGCCATGCAGTTCCTGGGAGCCCAAACAGCTCCAGGTGGCCCATCCAGGTCTCCGGGCTCACCGTGCCGGGGCTGAAGGGCAGTAGGGGATGAGTGGCCGAGCGCACCCCGCATGCCCGGCCCCACTGTGGGCACTGAGCGGGGAAATGCCGGCCCTGTGGCACTGTCTGGCCCCAGCACAGGAGTGGCTTCACTGCCTGTTCCCAGAGCAGCCCCTCTCCTGGCAGAGAACCCAGCTATGAAGAAGCCATAAACACTCGCTAAGTGGCCGAGCTGGTTATTTTCTGTCCAAGAGACCATGTTAAAGCTCACAACCAGTGAGACAGATGAGCTCATTGGAGAAGAATGGCTCAGGGCTGGCCAGGCCAGGGCCAGGGAGCAGGGCCAGGGCTCTCAGCCCCGCACCGGCACCATGGCGAGTCACTCTCAGGGCTGTGCTGGACCCCGAGGGGTCTGACACCCCAGCAGAATGAGTACAGCCCCCGGCAGGGTCCCAGCTGAGCTGTGGGGCAGTGCTGGGACACAGAGCCCTGCAACCCCTTGGCTTGCCCCGCTGAAGGTGACCCCCAAGCTGCCCCTCAAGACCTGGTGCTGTCAGGGGATCTGCATGCAGGGCTGGAAAACTGGGCTGGAGCTGCCGTGACACCTTCGTGCCACCTCGAGTCCCCTCCAGGCTCTGCATTCCTGGGATTCCTTCAGTGCACCAACATATTTCCTTGCTCTGTGTCCCAGGAGCTGCACTGGGACCTGACTGTCCTGCCCATGCCCGGGACGGGCACTGCCAGTGGTGCCCTCCGTGCTCCCGGTGTGCCCAGGGCTGGAGAACGTGGTCGCCTGGCTCTGCTATGTCCCAGGCAGTGTGAGAGCTTGGCATGAAGCCACTTGTGGGGCCAAGCCCAGGGGACACAGGGACCTCGCAGCCCTGATCACTCCACAACCTGCCCCCACACCCCCAGCCATGCAGAGCTTCCTCTGAACGCCCCCCAAAACAGCTGTGCCAGAGAACAGCACGGAGCCAGGCTGCCACCCCCTGCCGTGGTGCCATCGCTAGTTCCTGTCATTTATGAGCCACTCATGGGAGACGTGCAATGCGAGGGGTGGCACTGGCATCTCCCCACAAGACCACTGGATCCCTCAGCCCCTCTGCCCTCAGCAGTGCAGGGACAGACCGGGCACCTTCCTCCTGGTGGGGTCCCTGGGGATATTCTCTGGGGGTGATTCCTGCCCCAGCCCAAGTGGGTTGGGGGAAGAGGAGGGACACATCCAGTCCTTGGGCTAGGCACGGGCACTGCCAGAGGGTGGAGGGCACTGCACCTCTGCCCCTGTCCCCTGCTCTGGGGCTCTGCCTGCTGCCACCATCGGTGTGTGACACCTGTAAGCCCATGAGGGGTGATGGGCACCCAGCTGGCCCCATCCCACCATCCCCACTGCATGCAGGCAGGAGCCAGGAGCTGAGCAGGCAGCTCTGCCAGCCCTGGGGCTGCCTGCTGCTTGCACCCACCTCCAGTGGGTGCCCGTCGTATGTCATGCACCCACCACTCCCTGCCAGGCCCTCCCGGAGCACGGCAATGAGTCCCACAGGCGGGAGAGGAAAAAAACTTCTACTTACCCAACTCTGCCTCCTCCTCTTCTTCTCCCCACACGGTCCGAGGCTACGGGGGAGGACAGCTGCCCTGCACCTCACCCGCTGCTCTGAGCCCCCATGGCTGCCCACGGGGCGGACTGGCGTCTGCCCCGGCCGGGAGTGGGAACGGCCACAGCGCCAACTCCGGCAATCGCTCGCTTGCGCTAACTCGATCCAGGTTTCTGGAGAAAGGCTGGATGGAAACGCTTCTCCCACCCCAGCCCAGGCCCTTCTTAAAGATATAGCTACACGTCCCTGCTGCGGGTGCCGGAGCCATGGAGATGGAGCGGCGACGGAGCATCCTGCCAGCTGGCGTCCTTCCAGCGGGCCGGGGAGCCGCGCAAGGGATGCGATTGGTGGGACCCCTGGGGAGGAGATGGCACCGCCACCTGTGCTGTGGGCTGTGCCGGCCCATGTGGCTGCTGTGGGCAGTGTGAACTGCCCGTCCTGTAGGGATCAGGCAGCCAGATGAAGGGCTCCCGAGGCTGGCAGCACCCCATGGACGCCAGGGAGGAGGCTGTCCATCCCCCCATGCCCTTGGCCGGGGTCCCAGCGCGGCAGGAAGGGAGCTGGTCCCACACAGGCAGCCCCTTGCAGGTGGCCTCGACAGCCCACACGCTGCCTGACAGCCGGGACCACCCGGGAGGCTGCCGGCTGCAGCTGCGGGGAGGAGAACACCCGGGGGCCAGCCAGAACCTCGTCGTGATCTGGACAAGGGTGCACCCCCACGCCGGGTCTGCAAAGGGGGACCTGCTCCCCCTGCTTGCAGGATGCAGCCACGTGAAAGCCACCCAGATGGCAACGGTGGGATGGTGACAGACAAGCCCTGTCCAGAGGAGAGGTGCTGGCATCAGGCAGCCATGGCCGCAGCAGCCAGCTGAGAGGGGTGGGAAAGCACCAGAGAAGAATCCTGCCACAGGGGCAAGTGGGTCTCAGGGCTGACCCCATAGCAGCAGAGACCCTCTGGTTCCCTGGAACATGGAGCAAGCACAAGACAACCCAGGAGCATCCCTCTGGGAGCTCTGACAGCGCAGACCCTGGCACCTTCATCATGCCCAGGAGTCCCCACCTCTGCAACAGGCACATGTGTGTACACTCAGACACATAGGGATACAAAAGCACATGTGTGAGTGGGGTTTGCCCTGCACTGGGGATATGGTGTGCCCTGCTGTTCCCACCCTCCTACCTGGCTGTGGGGACACTGAGTCAGGATCCAAGCTCACAGTGGGGCCATGCTGCTCCATATGGATGCAGCTGGTGACTCGAGGTGTCGGGAAGGGAGGGAAATGGCTGCCCTCAGCCACTGTCTGGGTAACGGGGTGGTGGTGGTGGGGAATTACCTTGTTCCCTGACTGCTTTGATCTGCTGCCATTAATTAACTCAAGCAGTAATGACCCTCTCCCACTCTCTGTACTGCCCACCATACTCGGTCTCCCCGTGCCATGCAGCTCCACGTTGGCTCCTGGAGCTGCGACCAGCTGCCAGACACTGTGCCGGGTCAGGCTCCAGAGG